ATAACGGACGGCGACGAGACTTCTCGAGTACGGTCAAGAATCGACTATATTCGAGGATAAGGAAACGGATACCTGCGGTTCAAAGATCAACGAAAAGGTTCTAGAACGATGAAGACCTCGTTCCACGTTATTCGAAAATCATCTTTCCAGCGAAAGGATGAAACTTGCTCGAGAATTAGGAGAGCGTGTACGAAGACGATTCGTGCTCGAAACGGTCGAAGAAAGTGTTCGAGATTTATTTCCCCCTTTTCCGAAGCCTCTAATTTCTTTTAAGGAGAAACAAGTTTCACCGAAGTCACGGAGGATAAAGAAAGATGCGTCGATGACAATACGGTCAAATATCGATTCGCTGCACCTGTTTCTCTTCTACAAACAGTAGCGGTGCATGGGGTGAAAGAGAAAAGGGAAGGTAGGAAAAAGAGAAAGAGAGAGAGTCAAAGGAGGGTCTCGATTCTATTTCCGTGGGGCCCTAACCCGAGTGTCGAGAGACGGATACAGACGGATGAAGAGAGAACGGAACGAGACGAGACGAGACGAGAGAAGGGGAGAGGAGGATTTATGTGTTTGGAGAGGGTCAAGGGAACGAGGGTAGCGACAAGTGCAACGGAATCGTGCAGCTGGATGCAACAGGGGGTAAAGGAACGCGTTGCCTTGTCACGCGTGCGTTACCCCGACTAATTTTTTTCCGCCATCCTAACATACTTTTGACGTCGTGAAAATTTCTCACCGCGATAATTCGCGTTTCGTGGACTCGTCGGTCGATACATCGCGAGTGCAACGATGCGATACCACGTGAAAATCCACTTTTTGTCGGTTACGCAGGATGCACACGGCGAAAGTGATGCGTGTCGAAGAGACGGGACAGTCTCAGCCTCGTCTCAACCGAGCAAAAGTAAATGCATACTCGCGAAAGTAAGTATACATCGGCTATTTTCTCCTTCGCAACGAACGAGTTCACCGGGTAGAATAGTTCACGGACGTGAACTCGGAATCCGTTTCCCCTTGGAAGCCGGTTGTGCCTCCGACGCAACCGTACACGCCGAGGCGAACATCGTTACTCGTAGGATCGATCGATAACGCGAAACGAAATCGACGGTTTCCGTGTCGGTAAATAAAACGGAAACGAATTACCGGCCGAGAAAACAATTAGCTCCAACGATCGGGTCGAGTCGGAAGAATCGAGCGCTCCATTTTCGCCGATATTTCGTTGGATCAAGAGCTGTCTAATCTGTGTTTATAATAGTTTTGCTAGAAAGTACGGTTTCTCACTTTCCAACCGCTTTCTAAAAATGTGAAAAGAACAACGAGCACCCATTCTCGATTCGTGTTCTAACGGCGCGTAATTGGCTATCGCGGCCCGAGACAACGAAATTCAGATTTTTACCTCGCAATCGAATTTTCAACGAGCTAACTTTTACGAACGACGTTCGCGATCCATCAGAAAAACCGGAACAAGTTCGAATTCGAAGTTGGATTTCTTTTTACGCTGCCAATTGGTACGCGTTTCGCGGTGAAAGGGTTAACGATAACCGATGTTCTCGTTTTCCGTCGAAGCCTACAATTTTTCTTTGTTATCGCAAAGTGTTAAGAGACAGAAACGCTCGTCCGCCCCTCGGATCGTTTTAAATGCTCGGGTTAAAGGCTAAGCGTCTCACGCGACCTACAAAAGGTCGTTACCACTTTTGTAGTCTCGTACACGAGATACGTGCGCGCGTCTGTGTCGAGCACACTATTGTCGGAGCGAGCTAGGCCACGAGTGTCGTTGTTCTTTTCAGCAGGTATACGCTTCGTGCCATAGAACACGACACCAGACGCTCGAAACGGCATAATATTTGCGTCGCATAAGCCTTAAGGTCGCGTAGATACGTTCTTCCTCGATGCTCGAGGCTGATTCTCGAAGCGATCGCGAAATCGCGTACGCGCGGAGTGTGTTACGCGTACGCAGTCGTTACGACACGGCTGTAAATTGTAAGAATTGGGCCAATGCGTGCACACATACGCGTATGGTCCGTACACGAATACGCTGGCTGAGTTTTTTTCGCGTCGGCGCAACAACGCAAGCGCAATTATCGCTAACGCGGATGTCTGCTCGCGATTCGCGGGGCCTTGGCCGGTTTCCTTCACGAAGTAACGAATCGGCATTATTTCGATACCATATGCAGTTCGGCCGGTGTCTTCGATACGAGCTCGTTTTTATCGATGCACGACAAAGACAACGTTCTATCCTATCGACGCGTATGGCTCTTTCGGTAAACGATAGTCGATAAAGCAGAATTATCGTCGATAAAATAGAACACGCGTCGATAAAGTAGATGATACACCGGCAAGGTAGCATTCTTCCTTACTATTTGTATCGGTAATGCAGATCGTAGAAAATTACCTTCCGATGGTAAGGCAGGCAACCATCAGAATTAACGCTTTGACGGCTGATGGTTATACGTATCAAAATTGTAAGAATCGTAAGTTCTACGAAACGTGCAGCCCTCAAAGCGTTAAGAATGAAAACAAATGCATGCATCCTACCTTTACCGGTTTCAGGTTGAATATTTTCTGTCTTGATCTCTGTCCTCGTTGGGTAAGGTACGGAGTTCGGCGTTACCTGCGACGAAGGAGCGGCCAACTTTTCTGTCGTATAAGAAAACGACAAACAATTTTAATACCGTGTGTGTCAACCTTTTGGGCGCGGAAAAGTCGTATCGGATCATAATATATTCGACCGATCATACATTCAGATTTTACATCTAAAAATTGTGACACTCGACGATTGGCGACAATAAAAGGAAACGCGAATATGAACCAATAAAGACTTTTGCGCCGAAAGTTCGAACGATACCTGATACTCACCTGCTAGTAGGGGATTGGCAGCGGCAATGTTGTACCTCTGCCGTCTACAGGAGGCAGTGACGGAAGTGGTGGTTGACGTGGGCTGACTAGCTTCGGCCAAATCAGCCTGTAATTCTCGAAGGAATGTGTCGAGCGTGTCAAAGGGTTCTTCCCCTGTGACACCGGCCATTCCTTCACCCTCCTCTGCCGGCATATTTGGCGCGGCTGGTGTTCCCACGAGAGCACTCAATTCCATCGAGGAAAATTCGACGGACTGTCCGGTACTGCTCTCCTGCTAGGTATCAGAATAGCAAGCGATATAAGTATTGTCGGTATTAACGTTGTATCGGTAAATCTAGAAGTAGACTCGGTCTAGATTAATTACAACCACGTTATGGTTGTAATTAAACCACGTTTCGAATAAAATCTAAATTGCACCGAAACGCAGGTGCTTCGAAATATAATGGATCGTGATAGCGTACCAACCTGTAGACATTGAGTTAAGTCGACCATTTTGCCGTCATTGTCAGGGCACCAGAGCAACTCGTCGTCTATGAAGGGCATGTTTGACTCCTCCTTGGGCACGAGCGTGGAGGTCAGCGTGAGGGTTTGCGATACGGGGACCGGCATCGGGACCCGTACCCTGCGGCGGGGCCTCTTTAGCCACCCCCGCGCTTTCTAACATCCAAAACCACCGCCGAAACGTCCCCACTTTTCGCCTTTTTCTTTTGCCGCTCCGCAGATCTACCTCTCTGGAGCTACGCGCTACGCCGATTGCCCTGAAACCGACGAAATTTCATTCCCCATAAAATCCATTTGCCGCGAAACTCGCTTGTAATTAATTAAGTTTCAAAATAACTTTCTCCCGTTACGCGGTAAGCGCACGCGTCGATTCCGCGATCGACCGATTGATCGCGCCGTTGATCAAGAATCGTATCGCGAGTTTCGATACGCGTCGATATCGACAAACGAATCGATGGATCGAACGGTTTAATTACGGCGAACGGTGAATAGACTCGATCACTTGGTTCGTCGATGCGAGGCAGCTCGACATTCGAATAATTGCGAGTTAATTCGTGTAGCAGAGTGTAACGGAACGAGCAACGCTCTGGCATTTCCATGAAAGTGAAAACACCCGAGTGAAAACTTTCTTTCTGGCTTGTAGGTTGTTTCACTTCCTGTGCGCGTAACCTCGCTCTCCTGCCACCGCTGCCGCGGTCGTTGCATTTCTATGCAGCTTCTACACGCTGCTGTCTTTACGTAATCCTTAGCCGCGAAAGAAAGTTTCTATCGTTGCGAGGAGGTTAACATCCTCTGGTCTACCTATTCAAATATCGTTCGCCAACCCGAGATGTAATCGGGAGCAACGCGCTGCGTCGAAAACGGGCCGATCAATCCCGAACCTTCCTAATGGAATTTTCTTCTTTCTCTTTTTTACGTAATACGCCAATGCTTGATGGAACGAACATTTCTATACCGCGTTTTCTGTCTATGCCAAATAACGTTTTATTTATACGCGTTACGGTGAAAGTGTCTATTCGTAAAGCGTATGCGCTCGATAATTCGATAAGCAAATATATTCGTGAGTTGTAAAATTAAAATTTTTATCTACAAATATAGTATACGTTTTCTATGTCGTATCTAATTCGACCGCATAAACTATACACGCGATTTGCAATCGTGTTCGTGCAACGCTTAATAAAAGTGAAAAAAAGTTAGATGTTACTGTTAGTAGAAAGTACGTTTCAATCGTGGATACGAATTTTGAAATCGCGCGCCAAAAAGCGCGCCAGCCAGTCGTGTTATGGCAGACGACGAGAGCAGTTCGACGTCCGACGAGAGTCTGGACATTAAAAGCGTCAAATTTAATCCGATAAAAGCTCTATATTCTTCGAAAATACAGCTTTCGGCGTTGAAAGCACCAGTCTACGATAATGTATCGAAATTCGAATCGGTGTTGTTGGGTTTGTCCGCTAAATCGAAAGTGCGTATCTTGCGAAAACACGAGAATAACGCCGACGCGTTATCATCCGAGATCCTCTCTGTTCCCGTTCTGTTTTAATGGTTTCAGAAGAAAAACGTGACGGACACAGTTGGACGAGGAGAATGCTCGAGACGACGATTTTTACCCCATCAAGGTAAGGTACTCGACTTGTCCCGTTTCGAATGTGCCATGCGTAAAAAGCGTATCGCGCGATTGTCATTCCGGAAGAGTGAGGTTAGACCGTTCGATCGAGCGAACCTTCGGATGCTTGACGAGAGATGGCGACCGTGTGAACGCCCTGCGTACCATCGGGAGGTCGCAGTTTCATTCATGATAACTCGCACGTGGTATCAAATTTCAATATGCTTACGGTTAGCTAACACGAACGGTGTGTACGTACGCGGAAGTGGAAAGGGGAAGTCGCGTGAGAGTCTATGACGGGTCGCGTCCCTTTTTCGCGTCACGAAAAACCTACCGTGCGAAAAACCGTACCGTACACGCGCATCGAAACAGAAGAGCTTTTCGCTCTTGAAACAACCCCTAGTAACAATGCGACTTAACCCGAATCGACTCCTCGTATCGAGTATTCGAACATGCGGCTTAAACTTTATAAATACTCGCTCGTATTCGTGTACGTAGCGCGTGACCGATCAGTTTGCTGAATGGTCGTTTATGCCGAACGAACACAAACGAACGTTCTCGTTTCTTGCCCGCGTGGAATCAGCCCGCTCCCGGTTATACCATCGGTTACATTCGCGGTCGTATTCGCTAAAGACGAATGAATCTCGCGCATCTCGACTGTTGGGTAAGTCGGAAGCGACGCTACTGGCCGCTTACGTCTCGCGAGACTCGTCATTGTCGAGGCAGACCGCTCCATATTCGCGAGATTCTCTCGAATGAATCATCCGAACGTACTTTTTTGTGCGTTTCCCCCTCCGTTACTCGGCTTCGTTCACGAAGAAAACGGCGCGACGCGACGCCAGCTCCATAGTATCCTAGATATTGGCACACTTTATTTACGATCCCGGCAAATACCACGAAGGTCGTCGGTGTGTCTTACGCATGCTCGCGCGCGCACTCGCGTGGAATTTGACCTCCGCGAAAGCGCGTCAACTCGTGGAAGCGTCGCTCGCTCTCGTTCGCGTTTCCTTTTTACCGCCGTTGTCCTTTTATCGCGTGCCTACGCCGTCGAGACCTTCCCTCGGGTGGTGTGTTGCGCAAACATCGCGGAATCCATCGGCTACGGACGGTCTCTCTCCCGAAATGTTTCGCAACCACGGAAGCCTTCGAACAACGACCATTGCCGTGTACGTGCACGGTTATCGTACGTTCGATCTTCTTTTCCCACCGCCATCGTCGAATCTATGGACGCGCAAATTTCCAAATCCCTAAATTTCTATTCGGAAAGTCACGGTTAAAGTCTCCGATCGACGATCGAATTAGGAAAAGAGAATAAACGAATTGTTACGCACGAGTTGGCGCTATTTTTTATAACAAATAGAGAAGAAAAAACGCTCGTAATAAGGGGACGCAAAATTTGTCGAAACATTGCTCGAAATGTCTCGTCGCAAAGGTTAGGCCGTAGATGGCTGGGTCGTGGCGGGCGGTGGCATTACGGCTACATTACGTCAGACAAGGCGAACTGGCCTCCGGTGTCGGGTCCGGTGGCGGGTATAGGCCTCGTCGAAACTTGACCGAAGCCGTCGCGCGCGTCACTTCTTAACCGTGATTCTGACACGGTGCCAAACCGAGGTCGGCTTAGATTTTCAGTGAAAGTGGCGCGGCGGTTACCGAGCAGCTTGGCGACGAAATTTCGGCACCGCGAGGCCACGTACTCAGGGACGTGCTCGGTTAGGTTATGGCGGGAGGGAAAGGAGGAGCGAGGAGACGCG